AAAAGCTACACAATGGCGACAAAAACTGTACCAGCATCACAGATACCAATAATAACATTTTTTAATTGGAGATAATGTAATTACTTAAACGTTTAAACATGTATCTAAAAAGTCAATTAGCAGGTTTAAAAATATACACTTCCATTTTTCGTATTGTATTTCGTTGGGAGAGAGAAGTAGTGACAGTAGTGACTGGTATCTGATGGATGCAAACAGGTGTCGAGTCGCTGTCTCAGATAGCTCAAATTGCACGACGACGATACAGACTCAGTCACTGAACCATATTATTTTCCCTTCTGCACAATCTTTACTGTAATGCTATAGCCCCAAATGCAATTAAACAAGCCTAGACGTGGAACAGGTTAAGGCTGAAATTTCCACCCCACTGGGGCTCATTGTATCAAAATAATAGATATTCAGAGACTAAGCTTTAGTCTCACGGTGAAGTTCAACTATCGAACATATACCATGCAAGTCTAGATTTCTTCAGATTTCTTCAGACAGACTCTCCATGTTTCTATGGATATATAAACAATATCTTTTATAAATTCCGAGTGTCCACGAGCGTATATGTGTTATTCTTTTTGCGCAAAACACATATATACTGATTAAATAACTTTGTAATACAACACAAATATATGTCCATATGTATACATCAGTTTGATCTTGTGATCTTTATTCATAGTTTTGGCTCTTTTTCTACAGAGATTATGGGGTATAGACTAGTGGTTACATAACACCACAAAGCAAGGTCCAAATTCAAGTCTTGTATGTGGGAAACCAATATCGCAATAAAGAAACCAATATCGCAATATGGCTGAAAATGGCTAAACGTGGTATTAACCAGATTACTCACACATTTATTCAGTTATCTTTATGCACTTTCTACAAGAAGGTATATCTATTTATCCATAAGAAGGTACATCTATATTCATCCAAATGTCCATACATATATGTCCACATATATACTAGTATGTTTTAAGCAACTCCTGCTCTATTCCTTAAAGGTAAATGCTAAACATTTCCTCTGTTTACATTTATATATATGTAAACATCATTTCAGTGTCAACACTGTGGCAGTGAACGTATCATAACATCTAATCTCTGAAATGAACATATTTTACAGTAAAAACAGTTGTTAAAAAATCGTTATAAAATATAATATAGAGGAGCCAAGAGACTTTCTTCATTTTGCCAAATGTTGGGCTGTTTTGAATATATTTGTTTCGGGTCTGTATGGCAGACTTACCTGATGCGTTTAAGTATAATGACTGAGTCAAGCTAGTTGAACAAAAATCGTCTACCGTTTTCTTATGATTGTCAACATTTAAACAATGTTCTGAGCTAAATTATGAACCATTGTACGTCAAAATGTGATGAAATGTATACATGTCCTTTCATACATGCATATGGGATGAGTCAGCTCTTAATAGTTCAATGAAACTAGCAAGGTCTTTTATTTAGAGATGATCAAATCATCAAATTGAAGATGTTAAGTAAGTGTAGCTGTATGTTAGTGATCAACCCAACCTTGATTAAATATATATTGAAAGATGAGTGGTACCAAGTTGTGTAATTATTTCAAATAAGAATGATAGCACAGCAGGAAAGCATGGCACTTTAATACACGTACCTATTAACCCAATAGTTCTTAAATATAAGCAACATGTACATAAAGAGTATAAGTTTGGTGCGTGTCTTATAACACATTACTTTCAGAAAGTGTGCATCTTGTGTTTATCAAGACTCCTGTAACTGGCAATGAATGTCATTGGACGATTCATAAGGGTAGATACGGTTTATCATCAAAACCTGGTTCCCACAGCAGATATCGCTTGGGTGAGATCAAGCGTACAAAAGTGTATTTCTATTTGTGTTAACATGGAATATATCTTCACAATTCTTCGGTCTCCTCAATATAACGCATTCAGGCGGAACAGTGCGGCAAACAGGCTGCATTCCTTGTCACTACTCTCTTTATATCCAGTGTACCCTCTGATCCGAATTGAGCGCTGATATTAGGTAACTCCTTCCTTATGCGGTTACAACCCCGTATCAAGTCTTCCATTGGTAACACATTATACTGCGTACAATGAGTCATAGAGCTATAAAACACAACTGTTCAAAACCAACTGCGCAAATACTCTGTGTAAACACGTTACCCAAGATAACATTTCATAGTTCGAACGGCATTGGGTATCTTTGATACTTGATCAAATTCAACAACATATACTACAGGCTCTATACCACGATTGATTCTGATACTATTTACAATCAGTGTTATTTACAGCAATGAAAAAGGAGAAAATAAATACACAAAAATTAGAATTAGAAGTGGTCAAGAGCTATCGTTCGATACTTAATGTCTCTGACGATACTGTTTGCGTTGCAGTTTTAATGTCGTCTTTCTTTTCCAGTTGACTTAGCACAGTGCTACTAAGTTTATGGTGAGACTCCGTGACTTCAGTCCACCAGCAGAAACATGAAGCCAGTTCAAGTAAATATATAGTGTTATTGCCAGAGAATAACCAGTCTTTAAATACGTATCACACATACACGTGCAAACCTACATATATAATTGTACATACATACACACATATACATACAGATGCCATTTATAATGTACTTTATAAACTTTTAATTATTGTTGGAATTCACCCGTTACAGCGTAGTTTACTTTTTATGAAGTAATCTGGTCCTGTGCCTACTCTGACAAATATTTTAGATACATCAAACAATAATATGCAAAAATATTCATGCTTATCAACGGATGAGACAATGTTATTATATATTTGTATTTCTATGTATTGTGAGGTAACACATTATCCTTGTACAAAGCCAAATTGATATTTATCCATGCAACATTCATGAGCACCATATGGCAATGATGTTAAACGGACAATACATTTGAAACAGGAAACATTGAAAACAACGTCTAGTGCAAATATTGATCAAAGATGATCAATGAGCTTGGAGGTTATATCTGTTTTAAATCTTACTTTTGCAACCTATATCTGTGTTAATGCTGTCCTTACATTGTATACATCGCTCAGCTTATAAGTGTGCCATAAGTAATTCACAGGCGTTTTATCATAACACTGTACGCTTTTATTTTATTTACATGCGTTCTAGTTGGAAAAAAATTAATGTCACATACCTACACTTTGTTGCATAATAAAAAAGTTGAATGAGAAAACACCTATATGAGTATTCTTCCACGAAATTGTGAAATAGCTGAATCTGATTGGTAAATCAGTGGTTTCGACATCAAATTTCAACCAAACCTGATTGAAACAGATGACTTTCGTATCACCACCATATTCAAACTATGCATGGTAATAATCGTTGGAAAATAAACACGACATAAATTAAGCGAGAGAGTGTATTTCAAATTTTGAGGACAACATGTTGCTTGAATTCTGGAGCCTTTCAGTATCCGATTGTGATCTCATGTTCTTTGCGTCCACAAAAGGAACACGCTACATGCACTTGTTTCTGAGCAAACTATGATTGAGGGGAAAGTGTAAGTGATAAAAAGTCGTTAGTCTTTTGGAAACGTTTTCGGTTAGTTATTAGAATAGAAAAACAAACTGATTCAGAAGAATCTGGTAGAAACTATCAGTCTTATGTTTTATATTACACTAATTGGTTTTTGTAACTGCCACGCAGAAAACATCATTGTACACATGGCAAGCAGTCATAATTGTTGACAGCAGTGTCAGTACGTACAATATAAACAACGACAACATGTAGCTGATCTTGCTAGTGTTATTTATGATATGTTATTGATAAATGAACACATGGGGTCCGGTTACAAGCCAGTATAGTCATGTCTTTCAATGTATTTATAACATGCGGGAACGCAAATGATGTCAAGTCTTTGTCTTTAAATATCTCTTTATATGGGATATATGAAAGAGAATATACTCTGGAACAAAAACTACAAGTAAAACAGTATGACATAGCTTTAAGACTATTCTAAGTAAATATATTATCGTTGTCTAGAAATCTTACTGAATGAATTCAGGATATGTCATATAATACTATATATGTGTACAGAAAGTCTGACATGAAAACAAAATATGTTATCATATCTGCAATACAACATTCTGCAATATGAATGCAGTCAATTTCGGTAGCAAGTTTCCCTGACAGCAAAGTATTGGGTCAATCTTGAGTACTAGGCTGTGTAAGGTTAAGTTCATACAAGGGACATTTGAGTTTCATAACCCACAACATTACTTGCCAAGGTAGAAAATGTGAGGGTAGGAAAGGGAAAATGTTAAATCAGACACTGTAAACATTTGGCCGTAAATCATGACCGCATTTGCGGAGATATCACTAGCATATACTATTTTTTAGAATGGCATATAGTTTGCAAATATATTCAGACAAATCAATCTTGTCCTATCAAATATCATCTTTAGCACATTCCTCGGTGAAACACTACATTGTGCAACTATATCCCAGGAATAAGATTTTGATTTTGGTATAAACAAAATAGATGTCATTGTCCAGTAAATTGCGCAGTAAACAAAAGTTACATGAATGTATTTGCAGATTTGTCACAAGAATAAAGTATGTATTTTTGCAGTAAATAAATGTCATTTTCTAGCATATTACACAGTGAAAAAGCTACGTATTTGTGGATATATGTCAGGAATAACGGTAAGATGTTAGACTAACTATTTTTACTGATTCATGAATACATTCTAACGATATAGTCGGATTGTACAGTGTATATTGCAGAGATTGTGATTGCAATGTGTTTTGCTGTTTTTTTGCATATTAAATAGTAAACAAAGTGAATAATTTTTTTTTTAAATCGCTCCTTTTCCATCAAAATACAAAAATGATCAAGTTTCTGAACACTGACTTGGTAGGATTGTAAGATTTTTTACTTTTGCAGCTTACAAAAGTGAAAAATTCAACTTAAACATATTAAAACATGGTAACATGTCATGTTTGCAATTACTTTTAAGAGAGTATATAATACATACCAAGATGGACTGCTTTATGAGTCCCTACCCACAGTAACCAGTGATCCAATGCAGGCCGCGCTTTATACGTACCCTGTTACCCAACGCCAGGAATGAGAGATCCTTCACACTGTACAAGTAGAATCAGCTGCAACAAATTGTCAGTGGATCTACTCAAGATCAACAGCTCCAAATTGTGTCACTCCGATAAAGGACCACAATAACAAAATGATGACAAATATCTTTGTGACAGAAGTTGTGCTTCCAATCAGTGTTTCCCTTCTATCTATAGCCAATTTATGTATTTTGTTTTGCCGGGTATAAGTATGTGTCTGTGCAGACTAGTTCAACATGACCTAGGATACACAATATAACAACGAAACAGGTTTGTCATGGTTGGTAAGCACAAAGCCTGGCCTCGTTGTGAAGGAAAAGCAAGCATAGGCGATAGCGTGCTAACTCTAATACTCAGGGTATACGTTGCATAAATAAAGGTATAAATGCAGTGTTCGACATCCCGATGGCCTCGTGACATATATATGAAAGTTTTGACCTTGAATATCGAACAGAATGTGTATGAGAACAAAGAGAGAGATGAGGCACAACCCACCTACCCGGACAGGTAACGTCCTTCACTGTTCATGCAGGTCACTTCCGGACCATATATATATATATATATATATATATATATATATATATATATATATATATATATATATATATATATCTGTGTGTGTGTGTGTGTGTGTGTGTGTGTGTGTGTGTGTGTGTGTGTGTGTGTGTGTGTGCGTGCGTAATGACTGAGCGTGTTTGTGAAATATTAATACATACGAGAGTTCATTGATAAGTTCTAAGCTTCACATAAAAGCAAAATTGAGTAATAGTGACATTTTCTGTTGCGGATATTACATGATGTCATAAAGGTATATACAGAACAAAACGTCAGTTAACTGAGTATTTTTTTCACGTTAGCAAAATAAGCAAGGCTTGGTGAAAAAGTACAAACCTAAAGGACGTTAGGTGATTAAGTACTTGCAGAAAAAAAGGACTTAACGCCAAAAGCCATCCTTTTGAATGAGAATGACAAATTACGAATTTACTTCATTATTGTTTGCGTTTCATCGATTAAAACCGTGTACACCTCAACTGTGTGAAAGGAAAGAAAGATGGACATCAAGGTACACAGAACTTCTGGGTATATGGATAGAGAGCTAGAGACGAACCAGAATACAACGATCTAGACAGGTAACTCACATGTGCAACACGTAGTTGATTAGATCACTGACTTTGTGTACTAGCAATTAGGTGTCTCACTCCGGCAGTGTGGGCTCGAATCCCGGATGGGACTCAACCCCCCCAAAAGTACGAGAGTCTGTACTTCAATAAGAAAGTGTCATCCCAGATATAATATTTGTTACTTTTGACCACTTTTGTGATATCGGAGGAATGACACTATATCCTTTTTATTTCATGTCATTGACTGTTGTTTTATAGTTAATATCATAATGATATTAAGACAGATTATGGTACCTTTTAAGAGGTTTTATAATTTTCCGATTGCATACTAATAACGTGAGAGCAGTAGACATTAAAATTGTAAGCACAAATTCACTTACAGTTGACCTACCTTTTGAGCTTTTCTTATCTGGAAGATCGGTCGCAGCTCAGTGATTCTCCTTCATGTAGATTCTTCCAGTCCATGTGGTCGCATGCTCAAAAATCCATAATCACTTATATATTGTATCGGCAGTAATGGCCAATATAACAAGACGATTACCAAAATGGCGTACCCACCGATTGCGTACCCACCAAGGACATGCATCATTTGTTATGCATCGCTCTTGCTTTTATACATACCTTTGACTCACTGGGGTGAAGTGTCATTTTGACAACGACCCCTGAAATACGTACAACAAACCATGCATTTAAATTTGTATCTCAATGTCATGCGACGATGTAGCATTCTTACTTTTTTGTTGGAATGTTATTCAACTGAAAACATAATCTTTTTTGAAACATATTGATATTGGAAAATGTGCCCAATATTTTAATATATGAAGGATAAAACTACTAAAAAAGTTCTGTCAGAGATTTACTACACGATACTCATTTTGCTGATGGAAATGCATGTGACACAGGTTGCACACGGGTTGAGGGTGTGCGTTTGTTGTTTAACGCCGCACTCAGCAATACTCCAGCTATATGACGGCGGTCTGTAAATGATCGACTCCAGACCAGACAATCCAGTGAATAACACCATGACCATCAAAGCAATTAGCATACGATGACATGTCAAAGAGTCTGACCAACCGATCCCGTTAGTCACCTCTTACGGTAGCCATTTACTGCTGAAGACCATGCAATTCTAACACGGATCATGCTGTCTTGCGCTCGCCCAATTATCTTTCTTGACACAGTGTGATACATAGTAATGTATCAAGATCATGTGAATCAATCAGATTTCATGGCATGGGCATGATAAAATAGTATGTTGACGTTTTGCACAAGTGGTTCCTTCATGTCCATAAGGTTTGGTTTTAGCTTGGTGTGATTTTAGCTGTATCCCAACATCGGTAATATACTCATAAAAAAGAAACGCAAAAGATTTATGTGAGGTAGGAAAATACATTTATACGAGGTACCGTACAAGGTACAAGGTATTGAGTCAACATGTTGTGGTGAGAACACTTTGTGGTTGTAGTCATCTCAGTTATCAGTCCCCGGTCGGAATCGATAGCGGCCTGACATCTCCTGCCCATGGAAGAGACGAGTATGCGAAACACGTCCTGGGGTATGGTAGCCCACTCGGCCGGCAACGAAAAAAAGCCAACTGCTGCAACGTCTGGGGTTGTGGTTGACGTCGGCGTAGCCGTCTATCCAACTCATTGCACAGGTGCACAGGTGCGCTGCGGTTCAAATCCGGGGATCTGGAGGGTCAGGGGAGAACATCAACGTTGTTGTTGTGTAGACAGGCTCTTGTGATCCATACTGTATGCGGTCGAGCATTGTCCTGCTGGAATACACCGTTGCAGTTGGCTGCAACTGGGAGGACGTGTGGCAGGATAATTTCGTTGATGTATCGTTGAACCTGGATATGCATATGGACCAAACCTGTCCTGCCATGATGAGAGTTAGCCACCCACATCATAACGCTAGCCCAATCAAACCTGTAAGCAGTTTCCAGCTTAACGTTCTAGCGACGTCTTTAGACCGGTGCTCTTTCTTCCCCACGACGGAGGAGAAATCTTGATTCGTCGCTGAACCAGACATCTCTCCATCGTCGTTCAGGTCATACCATCGTTGTTGACGATAATGTTGACTCAATATGTTGAGTCGGACGTCTTGCTCGTAGACCTGCTGCTCTTAAACGGATTCGTACAGTGTGGTCGGAGATTCTGTGCAGTGCGGGTATTTGGGATGCGGTTGAGGTGGCTGTGGTCGTCCTTTCACGTAGGTGGCGCAGTCGGATGAAGCGATCTTGGACGGGGATGGTTACTCTTGGTCGTCCCGACCTTGGCCGATCACGTGTTGACCCATGCTGTTGAAACCAATCCCGTAGCCTTACGATGGTGCTGAGCGCTACATTGAAACCCCCGCTACAGCTGATTGGGATTCCCCTGTGACGTTGTTTCTTTGCACTTCTGTTAATCTTGGCATGTTGTTGCCAGGCAATCCAAAACCCTGCACTTTAATACCGTTCAGAGTGCTGCTACACGTGCAGTGCGTGCAGCTCAATGGCCCTTTTGTTAATGCGTCATTTCGAATCGTACGTGTTTCCCGTACATGTTTGGTCCGCTAATTTTGCAAGTCTACTATATTTGTCAAGATTACTGCAGTTACGGGTAAAATGGAGAAAGTCTCTTGGCTCCTTTTTATCATATTTTTTTATTAAGACAAATTAACAACGGTTTTTCTGTAAGATAGGTTCATTTTGGAGACTAGAGTTTAGCCTGAGGCTAACATAATGACCCACGTGTCAAGGCAGATTTAAATTTAAGGTCTTTTCTAAAGGTAGGACTGTCTGCCACATCCAAGGCCTTTTCAGGCCTGTGCGATTCTTGATACACACATAGCATGGATGATACCTGGTACAAGCTTACATACACCACCAGCACGAACTGAAAGAAAAGTACGAGTAGATATAGGTCACTGCTAAATAAACGGCTTGCAGTTACCGGACTGCAGAACCTTCCTCATAAAAGCGGCATTAAACCATACTCACTCACTCACTCTTCGTTAATGAACCATTGCGACAAATCGTGATATTTTCAATTGGCGAGAACTATAATGTTTTGAATTTTTTGCTATGGCTGAGGCGCATTTGCAACGAGAAGCCGCGCCAAAATGCATATGCGCTAAGCACACGCTTTAGAATGCCACATTGACAGTATCTCAATGAACAGACAAAATGGCAACTTGTGAATACGATAGAGGGTAGACGTTAATATTCCCAAGTTGCCCGAATGTTTGGCATGTTAGGTGTCATTTTCCGTCTTTTGAACAAGTACCGCCAGAAAGCAAGGCATCCCGTGAAGGGTGTGACGCTTACAGCTTACCATTTGCAGCAAATATTGGGGTGGGCTAGGCAATACCAGGGAAGGGCTGTGTGCCAATGGCGTGACACTATGTTTTCAGACGAATCAAGGTTTTCCTCCTATTCACAGTTGGCAGAAAATGTTGTTGGCGACGTAGCGTGTGTGGTACGCTAGGGCAATCATTCTTGACAATGATCGGTATGGGGGGTGGTAGTGTCATGGTGTCGGACGGTATCACACATGACAGGCAAACTGATTTTGAATGAGCATTTGACTGGTTAGCGATCTGTTGACGAAATATCGTCCTGTTTGTGGTTTGTTTGTTTGTTGTTTAACGCCGTCCTCAGCAATTATCCAGCTATGTGACGGCGGTCTCTAAATAATCGCATTTTGACCAGACATTCCTCTAGTGATTGACATCACGAGCATCGATCTACACAATTAGGATACGATGACATGCATCAACTAAGTCAGGTAGCCTGACCACCCGATCACGTTAGTCGCCTCTTACGACAAACATAGTTGCCTTTTACGGCAATCATGGGTACTGTAGACCAATTCTAACCCGGATCTTCACAGGCAGTAATGTCGTCCTGTCTTTGTTCCTTTCTGAACGACTAGAGTTACCGGCAGCAATTTGTAATCAATAGATGGCAATGCCAGGCCACATCATGCCCAGGTCGTCAGTGATTATCTACGAAGAGAAAGCATATTGACATTGGCTTGCCCGCTAAGGTTCCGATCATTTAATGTTCTGGGGTGGAGTGTGGAGTGATGGTTGGCGGAGCCTAGGAAAATAAATCGCACCATGAAACT